GGGGGGGGGGGCGAGGGGAGCAGGATGGCCCCGCCCGGCCGGCCGAACGGGTTGAGCTTAGAGGGGCCGGGAACGCCGCCGTTAGATCCCTGTGGAGACTCTGGGAGAGATGCAGGGGGGGTGAATCTACCGGGAACACAGTCGGGATCACAGGCCAAAACTCAGGTCAGAGCTGGTTAATGTAGAAATCTGCCTTCTGGCGAATGGCCAGATGAGGTATGTTAATGTTTACGCATTTAGCTGACGCTTTTGTCCAAAAATTTGACACAATTTTACAGTTATTAGCAATATAATATGTCCAAAAGGTGCTATTTCCCCCCCCTACTGCTTTTATTTAGGCAGATTCCTTCACTGACTGAGTGGTGGAGAGCAGGGCGGGTCCCACCTGGACTCTTTATTTTTCTGCATTTAGAGGCCTTTATCCAAAGCAACTTACAAAGTAGACACAATTTGACAGTTATCATCAATATAAAATGTCCAAAACGTGCCTTTTCCCCCTCTTACTGCTTTTATTTAGGCAGATTTCTACTTGTTTCTGCCTTGTCTCCTTCACTGACTGAGGGGTGGAGAGCAGGACCTGTCCCACCTGGACTGTTTATGTTTATGTTTATGCATTTAGACACTTTTATCTAAAGCGACTTACAAAATTAGACACAATTTTACAGTTATCAATATGACAATAAGTTCTCTAGAGGAAAATCCCCAGTCTGAATCAGTGGTGACAGCAAAGAGAGAGAGAAGGAAGCTCAGAAAGAGGAGTAGAGGGGTTCATAGGTCTGGGGAAGAGTCAGGATAAGAGATGCTCTTTGAAGAGGTGGGTCTTTAAGAGTTTCCTAAAGAAGATGGACTGGTGCTTTAAGTGGGAGTTCTGATGGTTTGGACCGTTTGACACCCTCAAGTTTCTCTCCAAAGAAAGTCTGAGGCAACAATTCTGTTTAGAAACAGTCATTTTTGGTACCTTTAAAGGCTCTCGCTCACATAGTTTTCAGACACTTTTCCTCTTTCTGCTCAGATCTTTTCATAAATGAGTAATTCATGCATATTCTGCTGAACACAGCATAGTTTTTCCCCATCCAGATCCCAGTTTGACTTACAAAGTAGACACAATTTGACAGATATCATCAATATGACAATAACAGGACACAGTAAAACCGAACCAGCCCTCACCAGGATGAGCCCAGTTTAGGCCCATTTTTTCTCCATCCAGATCCGAGTTCGACTTACAAAGTAGACACAATTTTCCAGATATCATCACCATGACAGTAACAGGACAACTGTTATAAAACTGAACCAGCCCTCACCAGGATGAGCCCCGAGGCTCAGCGAGTTCAGAGCGTCCTCCAGCTCCCTGACCTGCGTCCTCAGCCGCTCGCCTTTGTCCGGCAGAGCCGCCACGTTCACGGCAGACAGGGTGGCCTTTAGGGAGGGGGGGGGGGTTTACGATTTACACACAGGAAGCCAAAAACAAGACCATCTTTGGCTAATACTAAACATCTAGCCCAGTGTTTTTCAACCACTGTGCCTCGGTACGCTAGTGTGCTGTTAGTGATGGTCAGGTGTGCCGTAGAAAATCATCCTATTTCACCTAATTGGTCTAAAAAGATTTTTTGATAAGGAATTAATTATCTGCAAATAATATTCCATTTTTGAGTGTCTGTGCTGTTCTAGTGACTGGTGGCGTAATCATGTAATAATTCCTTATGACTAGATTTTGTATTTATTTTTGCATATTGAAGTGGACATGTTAAGAGCAATTTGAAAGAAGAAATATAAAATACGATAAAAAATACATTTTTGTGTTTATTTGATTCCTATTCAAGACCCTTAAGATACGATAAGAATAAAATAAGAATAACTATAGTGTTACTATAGGCGGCTACAGATTTGTTTGACATTTTTGGTTGGTTGGGGGTGTGCCTCGTGATTTTTTTCAATGAAAAAATGTACCTTGGCTCAAAAAAGGTTGAAAAAAACACTGACCTAGCCCATAGCTCATATTTCCCACCAAAGGCTCTCTCACCTTCTTCTGCTGGAGCTGAGCACTGAGCAGCCCCCGCATCCCTCTGGGGTCCCCCGCCTGGAACCCGGGGAAGCTGGTCAGCGTCTTCTGGACGGCGGAGGGCGGGGGGGTTCGGCGGGGGGCGGGTTTGACCGACACCAGAACCACGTCGTCGTCGGGGGGGTCGAGGGAGGGAACGCCGGGAGGAGAGGAAACGCTCTTGTTTCGTACCGAGGATTCATCTGGTTGAGTTACCGGGCGGGTTTTGTCTTCGTTTGGCCGCTGCTTGGTTGTTTTGTCCAGATCCAGAGAGGTTTTTTTTACTTTGTCAAACTGAGGACGATCCATTTTGTGTTCACCCGCTTCTTTCTGCTCCTTTTTAGTCAAATCTTTTATTTTATCCGTAATCTCTCCCACTTGGTCAGCTTTCTCCTCACTCGAAACCCTCTTCTTTACCTTCATTCCAGGTGGAAGCTGTTTGCCTCGATAAGTATCAGACTCCTTCATCTTTCCCTCCACTTCTTCTTCTGCTTTTGCCCCGGCATCCACCGCGTTTTCCTTCTGACGTTTCTCCTTTCCTTCAGCTTTGTTGTGGCCGGTTTGGCTGCCGTTCTCCTCGCCACCGGCCTGCGTCTTGTCGGCCTTGCTGGGAACCTTAAAAGGGTTTCTAACCGGTGGAAGGCAGGAGGGTTGGAGCTGGGCATCAGACAGGGGGCTTCTCTTTTCTATTCCTGGCTGCAATGATAAAACATCCCGTGATTTTCAAAAAACACAGCAGTTTCAGACAATCGTATGCCTATGACAATCTATCCGCCAAACTCCTATATTACATACACACAACTCCTATTATATACATCGTACTTAATCTGTATTTTTTGTAATTTTCTTTGCTCAATTTAATTTAACTTAATACTTTTTTGCCCTTTGAGCTGGTGGTAACCTTAATTTCCTGAAGGAGTCTTCCCAAGGGATCAATAAAGTACTGTCTAAGTCTAAGTCTGATAGAAATCAGCCATTATAGGAGGCTACAGACTGTTAAAAAAGTCTTACTGCTGTCCAAGGAACGTTTCCACACCATCTCTGGCCTGCTTTTTTACCCACAACACACCTGTAGTACAACCTGGGAAGGGGGCAAAAAAAAAATGCCAAAGACACATTCTTGGTGACATCAAGAAATCCGGCACCTGATAGTGTGTGCATTGAAACGTATTAGTCGCACAATCCCAACACACAATCGCACACCTGTGGCTCTGCTGTTGTTGACTGTAGCTCAGGGCCTGAAGCTCCACCATCGAATCTTCATGATGGAGGCAATGGGAAGGCGAGACGCTGTAAAGAGTGATATCAGATCAAAAACAAGATGAAGATCTGTGCAAAAAGTACCTACAAAAAACTACACGTATAGATCAATTATTAGAATGGTGCCAAGCTAAAGCATGTGTAATAGCTGTGTATTTTAAGATCACAGTCAGGTATTTTGGTTTGGTGGAGTTGGTCCCCTGTATCTCTGCTTAAACCTTAATTCTGGGACAAATCCTAGACAGTAACAATCAAACAGGGCCCCGATTTAAACAACTGAAAGAGTGGAAATGACGTGGGTACCTGGCCTGCTGGCTGAAATCACAGCTCTGCTTGTCAACGCAAACGTAGAAGCTCTTGCCTTTCGTTGGTCCATCTTTTACTCCAGTTTTTAACATGCACAAGGTGTCTACGTGAAGAAGAAATGTCTTAGATGATCACACAAGTTCTACTTTCTTTTTATGCAGGTGGCTGTTTTACTACAGCAATGCCATCCATCATAACTTACCGTGGACAGTACATAAAACCTTTTCCATTATTTCAACACAGTTAACTTTCGGCAACCACCAGACCAGGTCGTGAAATCCGGTATTTTTGTACTGACCAATGGGATCAGTCCGATACCATATCCTGTAAATGCATATCAGAATAACAGTGTTCTTCCTTCTGAAGTTGTACCTTTCGCTTATTTTTTAAAACAAAAGACGTATAACAAGAACATACAACCATATTTCTTTATCCAAACAAGATGTTACACTATTACGGTTCAAGATACACTAAACGACAGGTTGTGTTTGTTGAGAGGCCATTATTCTGAAATATTTTGTAGGGCGGTTGAACCGGATACATACCTTTTTCTGTTCAAATAAACCCGAATATATCGCAGTGGTTGCGTTTTAGACTATTTAAATAAGTTTCATTTCCAATATATTTTTTTTATCGAAGCAATATTTATATATATAAATGAAAACTAATCGACGGTTTTAAAATCTCAATCGAACTACATTACCCACAACCCACCGCTGGCTCTCGCGCGCTTTGTTTTGACATGGCGGCAGGGTTCGAAACATTTCTTGGTAATGTTTGTGTTCCGTTTCTTCTAACAGCGTCTACACCGCCTTTCCCGCGCGTTGCAGGTCGTTTTGGCGTGTTTTGGAAGGCTAAAATAACTCGTTTTCATATCGTTACCATAGTAACCACTGTTAAAAAACCTGGATGTTGTTACGTTGAGCACGTATAACCGTGATGTAAGCGAAGCCTTTTAAACGTTACGACATTTTTTTTTTGTCGTATTATGTTACCGAAATGCTGTAATTCCCTATGAATGTTTGTCAGATAAACTTAAAATGAATTTTACTATCTAAACGTCTTTAGCCGGCACGACTGAGTCAGAGCCAGATTCAAATTGGGCCGGTTCCGGTTCTTCCGTCCTCCGCCGGTAACCATGACGGTGGGACCGCGGCCATCAGTGCTCGTTCTCGGTTGAACTGACCCTTAACCTGTCGCCGTAATCTGTGGCTCAAATCCGGGATTAGCAGAGCCTTTTCCTGTGGGCAGAGGCGCCCGGGGGCCCGCATCATGTCATCCCCGGCCGGGCTCCAGTACTCCCGGGCGGATATCCTGGCCCGGTGGATGCCCGGAACCAACCGGGCCGGAGTGATCCTGGACCGTTCCCCGGATCTGGATGGACCCTCCCGGTTGGTTCTGGTGAACGACTCCTTCTCCTCGGACTTCGCTCCTCTTTCCGCCTCTGCAGACAGCAGCTGCAGCACCGGGGGTGGACATGCGGAGGCACCGGTGACCGGTGTCCGCCCCGGGCCCGCGGGGGGGGGCTCAGGGCCGGACGGTCCCGGGGAGATGGCCCACGGACCCCCGGATCAGACCCTCGTCGTGAAGCTGGAACAGGTACGTTTCTAGCTCTGATGCCTTGATTTTGTGACGTTTTATTTACATATTTGACACAGTAAAAATCAACTGAGTAATTTCTAAGTTCTGTGCTGGAGTGATAAAGAAGAATTCATACAAAAACATCTAAAATATCGGACATTTTGTGATAGGATAGTAAATAATATCATGTATTTTTTCCCATTCTGGCTAAGAGCTCCTTAAATAGTGGTAAGAATACTGAAACAAGGTGCCATCAGATTGCCAAAGATGCAATTTGAGAGCAGAACCCTCGTTGTGAAGCTGGAACAGGTACATTCCTGGCTCTGATGCCTTGATTTTGTGACGTTTACATATTTGACACAGTGAAAAACAACTGAGTAATTTCTAAGTTCTGTGATAAAGAAAAACTAATACAAAAACCATCTAAAATATCTAACTGACAGTGTTGTGATAGGATAGCAAATAATATTATGTATTATATCCATTCTGGGTAAAAGTTCCTTAAATAGTGGTAAGAAAACTGAGACAAGTTAACATCAGATTGAATAGAAACACATTCAAAATGAGACTTCAGTTTCAGACATTTAATCCTGTTTACTTTAAAATGTGTGCCAAGGATGCAATTTGAGAGCAGAACCTTTTACCCTATTTGTGATAAGATAGCAGATAATATCATGTATTTTTTTCCATTCTGGCTAAGAGCTTCTTAAATAGTGGTAAGAAAACTGAAACAGGGTGCCATCAGATTAAGTAGAAACACATTCAAAATGGTCAGACATTTAACCCTGTTTAGTTTACTTTAAAATGTGTGCCAAAGATGCAATTTGAGAGCAGAACCCTCGTCGTGAAGCTGGAACAGGTACATTCCTGGCTCTGATGCCTTGATTTTGTGACGTTTACATATTTGACACAGTGAAAATCAACTGAGTAATTTCTAAGTTCTGTGATAAAGAAAAACTAATCCAAAAACCATCTAAAATGTTTAACTGACAGTGTTGTGATAGGATAGCAGATAATATCATGTATTTTTTCCATTCTGGGTAAAAGTTCCTTAAATAGTGGTAAGAAAACTGAAACAGGGTGCCATCAGATTAAGTAGAAACACATTAAAAATGGTCAGTTTCAGACATTTAATCCTGTTTAAATGTGGGCCAAAGATGCAATTTGAGAGCATAACCTTTTACCGTATAAGTCAAAAGCGCCAAATTTATACAATTATATTAGTTCTTTTTATTATTTTTTTCTCCAACATAGTCTGAACCCTCTTTAACCAGTGTTGGCTCCTGTTTTGAGGAGCAGCTTTCCAGGCTTCTTGAGGGAAATCCCAAAGCTCTTCTTTGGGACGTTGCCACTGAGTTGCCGTCCACTTCTCGTGTCCTTCGGCAGAGTGACTTTACTGGTTATTTTTAGCATCTCACTGGGCTCTTTTTGCTATTGAGGACTTAAATAGTAACGCGGGCGCTGGGATGAGAGTAAGCAACCTCTCCTGTCGTGAGCTGGGATTAACGCCAGGCCCTTAATCGGGCTCCAATCAAAGGTGTCCTGCTTGGAAACCTAGTAAACCACTAAAAGCGTCTGATTTTCTTTTTTCAAAGTTTTCAGTACAACATTAATAACACAGAACAGTTCGATATAGAGAGCAGTTGGCAAAAATGCAGCTTGTTGAAAGCAGAGATGAATCATGAATCATTTTGAAGCACAGCACACTTTACCCTGTAGGAGTCCCATTTTGACCAAAGTTTGTGAAAAATGTCAAGTTTCAAGTGAATTTTAAAAGTAATTTGTTCCATGTTTCTTATTTCAGTCATGATTTCAATCCAGTTTGAAATCGTGGGGGCTGACTGTGTCATCCATTTTTGTAGTTATGGCTTTTTTTTCCAGCAGCAAGCATTATGTTCCAAAGGTATTTATTTACTGTGTCCATTGCCGGTGTTTTCAGTCCAAGGTACATGGTCCTGAAGTTGAGAGGGATGGTGACATTATAAACAGTTTGCATTACATAGTTCATCTCTTTCCAATATTTCTGGAAAACTGGGCATTCCCAAAACAAATGATAACGATGCGCCTTTAGGCTCCCACATCCTCTCCAGCATCCAGTGTTCCCTTGGGAATGAAAGAATTAATTTTTAGATTCTGTTAAAGTTCATGTTTATCCTGTGTTTTTAGCTGCACGCCATCAAACAACATTCACAACACTTTGTTACTACACTATACGATCACGTGAACAGGAAGCTGGCATGGTCACGGTTAGAGTTAAATGGCCAATTACAATTCGGTGCTGCGAAGACCAGTTTTGCATTGTAAGGGGCGGAGCTTAGCCCCAGAAGATAAATGTACCTGAGCTACGTGTATTCGGCGCTCTTTGGTGGGATCGTGTCTTTGAGACAACATTCCCCAGAGAGTCCAGCGCTGTGATATCCTACTTGTGGCCGGAATAAATTCCACTCATTGCTAAAGATCTCTTCTGTTCATTTTCCAAGTTTCCATAAGGACCGGGAGGAATTAAGGTGGAGGCAGAAACCTTAGCATGAATAATGAGCGCTTTGACATGGTGTTATAAAAAAAACGTGAGATAGTTTTCCAGATTCTAAATTCTTTCCAGATATTGATTGATTTTTGTTGTCTTCCACTGCAGCTGAGGAAGTGGCAGCAGCACATGCAGCAGCAGCTGAGGGCCCATCAGCTGGAGGAGCTGCTGGGCCTCCAGGAGCAGCAGCAAAGGCTTCTGGGAAAAGCCGGCCAGTCCCCGCTTTGCACCGGAGGTTTGCCTTTCACACCAGAGTTTGTCCCCCTGATTCCTCTGCTGAAAGAGTCTGGAGGTGACCTTTTAAATTGTGTGTGGGCTTGCAGACAGCTGGAACTCCAGAGGAGACGATGGGGAAGAAAGTTTTGGCGAAAACTGTGAGCAGGACGAGGAATTACGGCAACAGGAAGGCCGGGTCGGGACTCGAAACACCAGCAAGCAGGAAAACGAAGACTTCCAGGACAGGTGAGCGCCTCTTCGTTCAGTTTGAGGCCGTTTCTGGACAGGTTTGTCCTCACTCCCTCTGTTTTCCAGACCCATAAAACCGGGAATCAGCGGTCAGAAGCAGACGTTTGAGGAGCTGCTGGAGGAGCAGCTGAAGCTGGAGGAGCAGAGGCTGAAGTCTGCCCAGCAACAGAAAGTAAGACTCATGTACTTTAAAGGTCTCCATTCAGATGGAAAAAAAAGAATTTGGTCCTAAAACAGACTCCAGATGAAATGAGACTTAGACTTAGACAGTACTTTATTGATCCCTTTGGAAGACTCCCTCAGGAAATTAAGGTTACCAGCAGATTACAGGGCAAAAAAGTATGAAGTTAAATGAAGCAAAAAAATGAAAATAAAAATAAATAAATAAAAAATACAAAAAACACAGATTAAGTACAGTGTATATCATAATAGGAGTTGTGTGTATGTAATATGATGAATGACTGCTCCTTTCATTATTAACTCATTGACTGCCAGAGTTTTTTGAGCATTTTGACTGATTTTTCAAGAGCCACAGAATAGTTTGTGCTATGACTATGTAAACACCGAACACACCAAAAGAAAGAGTAGACTCTTTTCTTTCATCAGGAAAAAATTTTTGTTTCTACCTTATTCCGTTCTTCCTCGACTTGCGTCTCACCGGCGACATGTTCTCTCATAGCGAACCGTTACCTTTTTCTTATTTGCCTGATAATTACGGACAAGTTTTAGCAGTTCGTCCCCCAGCCACTCTCGTTAAAAAACAAAAGACGTCTATAGACGTCTTTGGCAGTCAACGGTTGTATTTGAATTGACGTTTATAGACGTCTTTGGCAGCCAATGAGTTAAATGGGGTCTCCTGTTCTTTTTTTTTTTTAAATATAAAAACTAAAACTGTGGGTTCTCCCCCTAAACAGAGTCTAGACGGAGGCCAGGCTCGTCCCAAAAGGGCTTTTCTGAAGCGTGGCGAGGGCCTTTCCCGGTTCACCGGCAGCCGCAAACCCGTGGATCCGCCGCCTCCTCCCGCCTCCCGGGCCGTATCCCGTAGCAACTCGGCGCCCGTTTTCCTCCAGAGAGCCGTTGCCGGGGGCGCCCCGGCGGTCCAGGTCCAACGCAAAACCGCCACGCTCAACAAGGAGAACCGGGCCAGGGTTCCCAGAGTCTTAGGCCGCCACCAGAGGCCGAACACGGAGAGGGCCGCGCCCCCCCCGGCCAAACGGGACCAAACGGGGACCCAACGGGCCTCTGAGGACAGGAACCCCGACTGCTGGGAGCTGTCCTTCCAGGAGAAGCTGCAGCTCTGGGAGAGCGACCGGCGGATGGAGAGCATGGAGCTGGGGGAGTTCGAGCTTTTGGAGCAGGCGGCCGAGGAGCTGTCCTTCTCCTCAAACTCCTCCTTCGTCCAAAAGGTGAGGAGGCCAAAACTTGTCAGGTTTAGAACTGATTCAGCTCGAAATTGGCCTTCGGTGAATTGCCAGATGAGGTATGTTTATGTTTATGCATTTAGGAGACGCTTTTATCCAAAGTGAATTACAAAGTAGACAGAATTTGACAGTTATCATCAATATAATACGTCCAAAACGTGCCTTTTTCCCCCCCTTACTGCTTTCATTTAGGCAGATTACTGCTTGTTTCTGCCTCGTCTCCTTCACTGACTGAGAGCAGGGCGAGTCCCACCCGGACTCTTTATTTTTCTGCATTTAGACGCTTTTATCCAAAGCGACTTACAAAGTAGAAACAATTTGACAGTCATCATCAATATAATATGTCCAAAACGTGCCTTTTTCCCCCCCTTACTGATTTTATTTAGGCAGATTTCTGCTTGTTTCTGCCTCTGAGCGGTGGACAGGAGGGCGGGTCCCACCTGAACTGTTTGTTTCTGTTTCTGTATTTAGATGCTTTTATCCAAAGCGAATTACAAAGTAGACACAATTTGACAGATATCATCAATATGACAATAACAGGACACAGTAAAACTGAACCAGCCCTCACCAGGATGAGCCCAGTTTAGGCCCATTTTTTCTCCATCTAGATCCCAGTTCCAGGTTAAGGCATTGACTGACCTATAGTGACCTCGTGTGGTGCTAAGCTCTCCTCAATGGTCTTAACTGTCTCCTTGGGCTTAAAAAGCAAAGCGATCTTTGAGGGGAAAAAATGTGACGGAGCTCAGTCGTTTCGCTTTTTAAAGCCAAACCTCACGGGTTCTCTGACCGGCTCTCTGGTTGGTTTGCAGATTCTCCAGATGGACGTTTACAGCCGGCAGCGGGGGGGCGATGCAGGCGGACTCTACGAGAGGCGTCTCTCCTCCACGCCCATCAAGTCGCCCCCTGGTGGCGGGGCCCAGAAGTGCGGCGGCGTGCCGGAGGACGGATGTGGGCGGAGCCAACGCCAACTGTCCGACGTTTCGTCAGGCAGTGGGTCTGAGTTCGGGGACCCCCCCGAGGTGGAGGTGGAGGTGGGGGGGCGAGTTCGCTTCCCCGAACCCTCCAACCCCCCGTACGACAAGAGCTCCTACCAGGACCAGGACCAGGACCAGGACCAGGACCAGGACCAGGACCAGGACCAGGAACAGGAACAGGACCAGGACCAGGACCAGGACCAGGACCAGGAACATGACCAGGACCAGGACAGTCTGAGGGACTCTGCCCCAGAGGAGGATGAGGAGAGTGGGGGTGACTCCACCCTGACGGAGGGTCTAGGGTCGGGTTTGGGGTCGGGTTTGGGGTCTGGGGGCCGATACGGGGAGGTGGTGTTCGACGACCACGACACCTGGAACGACCTGGAGGAAACGGCCATTAGCCTGCAGGTCGGTCTGGAGAGGACTCCTGTGGAGCCCCAGCAGCCCCCCCCCC